CATGACAGTTGTAAAACTTTTCAAAGGTCAGACAATGGGAACATCACATTACCACAAAGTTATGGAGAAAAAAGAAAATGCCCTGGTCTTCCGGAATTGAATCCGAAGACAAAGAAATACTGAAAAGGAACAGGTTAGATGGTCAAGTAAGGAAACACAAAAATAATAACACATTATTATCCAAAGATAGAGCTTGGGGGTTGTGATTTTGGCAATCCGGTGGACTTGCTACTTGGAAATGTGCCTTCTAACAATACCTCCAAGCAAACCAAGGTCCCTGCTATCAAGTCAATTCCAGCTGATGGCAACCCGAGAGGGCAGCGTCGCACTGCCCACTGGGGATTCTGAGACTTTACATTTTTGCAGGAGTTAGCTCTCTCCCACAGAGCAGCAGGTGGGTTCAAACCACTGACCTTGTGGTTAGCAGCTGAATGTGTAACCCACGACACCACCTCTAGATTAAAAAAAAAAAAAGGGGCATTTTTAAATGCCTTCTAAGGCTCGTGAGAAATAAAGCAGGACAGAGAGAAAATTGCCAGGTGCCACAGACGACGAGGAACAAATTACTGGAGGGTATTCACAAGAATGGCTGCCCCGCTGCCGCCCTGGCCGTGAGGACGCCGCCGGGTTTGGTTTCACTCATGGAGGTCTGAGGCAGCACCGTTTTCTGTCAGTGGCCAGACAACCAATCTGCCTCCTTCCTTTTCGAAGTAATAATGATTAAAAAACAAAACCCCACTTTACTAAATAACAGATGGGTCAACAAAGAAACCATTTTGGATACTTGAAAATTGTTCAAAGGGATCTAGAATGAACACATTCCCTAAAACCCAAACACAGTGCCATGGGCCAATTCCGACGCCTAACGAACCTACAGGGAAGGGTTTCTGGATTATGGATCTTTACGGGACCAGAGAGCCTCATCTTTCCCCCCTTGGAGCAGCGGATCGGTTGGAACCTCTGACCCTGTGGTTAGCAGCCCAGCACTTAGCCTGACAGTGTAACCAAGGGGCCCCAGTGAACACACTGGGGACTCTACCATGCAGGCTATCCTGAGAAAACAAGAAACCCTTCCATCCTACTGACATCGACAGGCCATAGCTCAACACACTGGACACCGTGACATGTCAGAGAATAAAGCACCCTCAGACTCTCTCCTTTCCAGAGCCCTGGCGGGGGGAGTGGTGATGAGTTGAGCTGTGATATGCAAGGTCTGCCGATCAAAACCACCAG